TTTATTCTCCCACCATTAAAGCACACTAATTACGAAATATCGCTCTCAGAAACTTCATGGTTTCTTTTGCAATTTGTTTGGGGTAAGACGTTATATAAATAATATCAATCTGTCTACCACACAAATTTAACAGATACAAATGCATGTTATTCCACAGGTAGACAGACAGGGCCTCCTTTGAAGGGACTCAGTGAAGGGAACGCGGTTGGTTTAGAGTTTGTCTGACCCCTTTGAATATTTGCGTCTCATCTCCAATGAAAACAATCATGTTGCTCTCATGCTGTTCTCAACCAGAATCAAACATATATCGTACCTGAGATTTGTTAGCATGTTCCACACAACCCAACATTTATCGGCACCGGGATTAAGGGTGTATATCTTTGTTTCTAACGCTTATTGGGAATACGCCACGGAAACTACAATAAAAACTTATTTACAAAACATTATAAAGAGGGAAAACTGACATATTTCAAGCTTTACTGTATTTAAAGAAATAATTTAAATCAGCCGGCTGAAACCCCGTCTCCGCTATTTGTTCAGTCATTCTTTAGGTATAGTGCCAGTTTCCACCGACAATGATATTGCAAACAAGTGTCCAATCTATAAAAGCATACATTCCTACAAAATGTTTCTTTAGTCAAGTGAAACAATAAATACATAACTATGCGAGGGTGTGGTGAGTAAATTCGTGGTAACGTGAATAGGCTAATGTGACATAGAACAAGGTCACATTGATGTTGACAAATACGTAAGACGATTTGAACATCAACTAAAAAGATATTTAATGTGATTCAGCTGCAAGGTGATATATGCATATATGCAGCATAGATAATTAAAACTTCTATTCAAGTTAAACCAACTGTATCTATTTATTTAGGTCTTACGTGGAGCTGAATACATTTTATGATTTATTTTCATCTATTGGTGGTTAACAGTGTGTAACTAAAAACTAAAATTGGATCTTATTATTGCCAATGATATAATGTACATGTAATAGCAAGTGTATATATATTTTTTGTTCAGTCTGTACACAGTAACATATCTGAGAACCATATTATTATCATTTCTGCCCAAGGCTCCCTGTGCCTTATAGTTAGCAGTGATACAAGGCAATTACCAATTTTCCATGTTCTTGGCCTGAAGAAATAAAATAATAAAAGTCAAGTTTTTATTATTATGCAAGTGGAAAAATACAATTATTCATAGTATGATTTGAATAAATACAACTGATTTGAAGTTTGAATTATTATTTGTCTAAGATGACTGGGCATTTACATATTGAAATAGCTACTCTTCAATAAGAAAATACATTAATATTTTTCCCAATTCACCTGGATTTTATTGTAGGTCTTTGTACGTGAAATAGCTTTATTTAACGTCCGCTACCACCGAAGTGATATTGCAGAAAATTAACAAATTCGGATTCCCTTTTAAAGGAAATTGACTGCACTATTGCTGGATTGTATTATATAGGTCATGTCAGTTTTTTTCAAAATGGCGCCCAGAACACAAAACAAACATTGCAATTCAGGGCTGACTGGTGTCGAGGCTGTATCCTAAGAATGATTTTTTGAATATTTAATCACACAGAAACACAAGTATGCACATGCAGTTATGATATAATATTAAATTAGCTTACCTCAAATACCTCGAAATATACTGTTTGGTCAGTTTGTCCGCCCGCCATATTTCTATTAGTCACACATCCTTCGGCCAATTAAAATGGACGTATATTTTGTTTTAACCGAAACGAAAAATTTGCGTTATAAATAGTAAACGAGCTTGATTGACAGACCACTGCTAATGTTTTTTCGTGAAACGGTATAACACACGGCCGCCATTCTCGATGATTGACAACTCACATTTTTCCTCATCCACCAAAGAACCGTTAGGTTTCTTTGAACATACTGTAATAACATTGGGATTATCAGTTAATCAGCTTTAATTATCCTGCTTTGATCGTTGCCATTTCTTATATTTTCCACAAAAAACTTTGCCTTGTACGCACTAATTTATCAATTGGTATTGCCATCTACGACAAGCATTTCAACGTGCAGCTCGCGGATTATCGTTAACAATTTCTAGGGGCTTGTAAAAAAAGATTGCATGTCGTGTAAATATTTATTTTGTTTTTTGTGTAGGTCATTTTCAAATAAATTCATCAGCATATTATTCGTTTTAAATAAATATAAAACTTTTATGAGAAACGATGATTATCAAAGAACCGTAAGTGCAACTAATGTTTCATGTTTATAAATATTTTCTTTCGTGTTTTGTTTGAATTGGCCTATTTCTAATAAATTATCCCGAGTCCCAAACGTCGTTAACCCGAGACCCAAACGACGTATACCGGAGTCCCAAATGTCGTGGTCATATTTTTTTGAGTCCCAAATGACGCGAGTCCCAAATGATGTGAGTCCCAAATGACATGTAATCAACCTAGAGTTGTTGTTAGTGTTTGTCGGATAGATCCTTTATACTTACTGGCGCTAGGTAATTTCGAGGCTAATATTGTTCAATTTTATTTGAATGATTTGCTTGCGCGTACCGTAGAAGTGTATTAGAAACAGTGTTTGCGCAGGTTCGAGAACGGCTGAAGAACATGAAAACACTTTCATGAGTCTCGAACATGAGAGAACGGTATCCATGGTAACAAGATGAATTAAATTCATACAATCTGTTACGATAACTTGTTTAGTATTTACTTCGCTATTAAGCATAATTTTGATAAATTATGGCACCGTTTTACTCCTTTTCAATTCTTTGGATGACGATTACATCACCTTTTGATACGCTCTCGTCCGTAGGTTTGTCCATCGTCTACAGAACTGATTATTTTAAAATTGATATGTTGTTTATTTTAATGAGATGAATCCTATTTAATTTCAATAATTTCTGTTAGTTTCTTCTGGAGTTATGGCCCTTGTTTCACTTTGTGAAATTCATTTGAATCTTTTAAATTAGTGAAACGAAGACGTCTATTAAATTTCTGCGATTTATGTCTAGAGTTGTGGCCCTTGTTTCACTTTTTCGAACCTTGTGAACGCACGAACAACAAAATTATCATCCGATTTGTATGAAAATTGTATGCATTATTTAAATTAGTAAAACACAAAACCAAAAAATCTGTCAAATTTCAACAATTAAGGCCCTTGTTTCAGTTTGTAGAACCTTTGTAAACCCACAAACGACAAAAATTATAATCTTGTATGAAATTTTCTTGTAAATGCCCAAATTACCTACAAAAGAATGAATATGCGACAATCCCTGTTGACTGCGCAAACGATTAAACTGCTGTGGGCATATGTTTCGTTGCCTGGCAACCTAACTTACTTCATGTTATACTGGCCACATACTACATCCAATTTTCGAACGGTATTAAATTTCTAAATTAATAAATGCACCCATGATGCTGTTTTCTCAGCAGTTATCGATGCGTCGACCTTTGTAAACCCACAAACGACGAAAATTATAATCTTGTATGAAATTTTCTTGTAAATGCCCACATTACCTACAAAAGAATGAATATGCGACAATTCCTGTTGACTGCGCAAACGATTAAACTGCTGTGGGCATATGTTTCGTTGCCTGGCAACCTAACTTACTTGATGTTATACTGGCCACACACTACATCTAATTTTCGAACGGTATTAAACTTTTAAATTAATAAATGCACCCATGATGCTGTTTTCTCAGCAGTTATCGATACGTCGACCATGTTTGTTCTCCCTCACACCAGCTATGAAGTAGTGTGGGATTTGAGAACGGGAATGTGTTCGTGAACGTTCTCTGCACCGGAACACTGTTTCGAATACACCCTAGGGGTATTTAGGAAAGGGAGGAAACCGGAGGACCCGGAGAAAACCCACAAGGCTGGACAGGCGACCCTATTCCTAGTCACATTGAAGTGGGGAATCACATAATAATGGCCTATTTCAAATAAGATAATTGCATATAAAGAAAGAAGGCTCACAGCCTCTTTCAAATGTGATATTTGCATATAAAGAAAGTACAAACTTAAATCGTCAGTGCTGGATAAACTAGCCAAAGGATTTGGCTGAATCAATTGGCGCTAAACTTCACCTAGTTTATCCACTGACATACGCCCGAATCAAACATGTTTGATATATTTGGCCGAATTGTATTTGAGTGGTGTGTCCGCTTCGCCGAAGCATTCGTCTGATTTTAGAATTCATTAGCCAATCACCACTCATTCATATCGAGTGGGTATCGCAAACTAGCAGTCGAACTGTGACACGGGTGCTACAGCCAACAAATTCCAACTACCATACTATCGGCTTAAATGCACGCCAATGGGACCTCAGGTTTTGTGTTCCATTGAAACGACTAGAAATGAAATGAAATGGGGTTTAACGTCCTACTGTTTTGCTCCGAACTGGGCTAATGAAGACAGGCATACACCACACAGTGTGCTATGAGGGAAATTTTGCCCGGACAGCGGCACTGCGGTGTATCGAATTCCAACTGTCAAGGGATCTTTTACGTGCACGCCAACGTGTACACGGGACCTCGTTTTTTTTATTTCATCCGAATGACTAGACAGCTGTCCTTGTCAGGCCCTCCGTCCTGCATCACTGACAAGGGGGAACCACGCCGGGAAATCTGGGTGAACTTTCTCGGCCAATGCAGGGATCGAACACCCGACCTCCAGGCTAGCGAGCCAGCGTCTTACCCACTTAGCCACCATGACGACTAGGCATGGAATCCATGCTGAAAAATTCAAATGAGCTTTCTCGGTCAACACTAGGAGCGAACCCGCAACCTCCCGGGTACCAAGCCAGTGCCTTACACACTAAGCCACATGACTCTCTTCTAATTACTGTGACAGTCCAGTCACATGACAATCAAGGGTTATTAAAACAGATTTTCAAGGCTTGGGTAAGATCTTCGGGATTCAAATGGTTTTAGATATCACACAGTTTGTATATGGTAAGGTATCTTAAACAGTTTATTACATGTCACATATTCATATTTTTCAGTTTCCATATTAGATGCCATAGCAAATCAAAGATCATATAATAAAATAAGTCAAAAAACCCAAATATGGAAAAAGAAAGAGCTGAAGAAATGGTGATTTGAGCACCTATGCTTTCTCATAGGTGTTTTTGGAGGGTGAGTGTTCAATTCTAATAGAAAATATTGTTGTTATGGTATTTTAGAATCTCACCATAATGTGTTTGGCACAATATATCCCGGTTGGAGCTGATGTGACATAAACCTCCATTTCATTTCATTGTTTTGAAATTTAAAATTCAGTTTAGTATAGTAAATTTGTACACGTACATGTATGTACACAAACAGAATCTTACTTATGTCCAGATACATGTAGATATGACTGTCTCATCTGTGGGGGACCACGGTGGCCAAGTGGGTTAGACACTGGCTCGCATATTTTAAGGTCGCGGGTTTGCAGTAAGACATTGCAGTACGGAGGATTGGGCTAATGAAGTTGGGCATATGCCATACAGTGTGCTACGAGAGAAATTTTGCCGGGTACCGTGACCTTAAGGCCTTCTCTTGTATCAAATTCTAACTGCCAGGGGATCTTTTACATGCACACCAATGTGTACACGGGACCACGTTTTTTTGTTCAATCTATGTGCACAGACAGAATCTTACTTATGTCCAGATACATGTAGATATGACTATCTCATCTGTGGGGACCCATGGTGACCAAGTGGGTTAGACACTGGTTTGCATATTTTAAGGTCGCGGGTTTGCAGTAAGACGATGCAGTACGGGGGGCCTTACAAGGACAGCTGTCTAGTCGTGCATGTAAAAGAGCCCCTGGCAGTTAGAATTTGATACAAGAGTAGGCCTTAGGGTCACGGTACCCGGCAAAATTTCTCTCGTGGCACACTGTATGGCATATGCCCAACCTCATTAGCCCAGTCGAAGCTGAACAGTAGGACGCCAAACCCCATTTCATTTCATTTTTTTCATTTTGTCTCATCTGTGACAAAGCAAACCAACACATTACAATACAATTTAATTAAATTAAAACTTTCGTCTATTTAAATATTGAATCGATTTAAGTCAACTAAAACATAGTATGTTTTTTTTCTCAGTTAACTACATCAGAAAGATCAAGACAGTTGGAAATGGCTATTCATATTATGGAAACTTTTTCTCACAGAGCTTGATAATCAGGTAAAATGTAAGTAACATACATATTTGTATTTTTAATCATCAACTAGTTCTATACACTTGATTGGTAATCAAGTGTATAGAACTAGTTGATGATTAAAAATACAAGTCTTGGCATTCTTGATTTTTGACAATCACATCCATTGATTTTCTTCAAGTTGTGATAGACCCTATGTGTATTTTTACAGTAAATAGCAGTATAAAAATGGACAATATTTTACTTTTCAAATAGATTTTAATAGGTAATATCCAATTTGTTGTCGATGGAAATAAAATATAATAATCTGCCTGGGTCTGTTACTGGACAAGACACAATAAGTGTTACCCAAAGATGAAACAAAATAGAGACTCAGTCTCGATGTGGCAAAATAAATTGTTTATTTAAACATTGTGAACCATAAATAGTAAGAAAGTATTCTTATTGCCTACTTTTTATTTTTTAGGTTGGAAGATTATTTGATGTATGATAACAACAAGAGATCCCAAGCATCAATTTATTTAATAATTCTGGAAAAGAATGCATTTGACCCAATTTTTGAATATTTTTTTTTGTTTTTACTGTTAAATATTCATCCCAAACACAATTAGATTTTAATTCTCTACATAAATTTATGTATAATATAGAATGTAAAGTGACATATAAATCACTTAGAATTTGGTCGGAAATCATAAAGTATTTAATAGGCATAGTCTAGAAACCAAATGTAGATCAAATATACCCAGAATTACAAAAAACCTTGACCTACATTAAGGTGACTTTCCCTTGCTTATGAAATGAAATAGGGTTTAATATCCTACTTTTCTGTGTTATTATGGTGATTCTGCCCTACAACCTACTCTTATATCAAATATTTCAACTGTCAAGGGTTGTTTAAAGGGAACCCAGGAGGGCCGAATGGTTAACACACGCACATTGGATCAGAAGGGTCTGTCATTGAGTCAGATAATTCAATTGTCAAGGGTTCTTTAAAGTAAACGCAGTGGGGGTAGTTTCAATTCTGGGCTTATACCCAATTATCCCTTGCCATGTCCTACACTACTGACGTGTGGGAACTATGTCGGAAAATCCAGTTGAACCACAGTGGCTCCTCCTTGCTTTTGACTTGTGATTATTTATATATATTTTGTACATATTATTTAATGTTTGCGATTTTCTCTGATATATTTTTATTTTTCAATCCTGTAATCTTGATGCTTTGCTCCTTTTATGTACAAAATATTCATTTTGTTTGAGGAAAAGGTTCTACATCATTTTATTACTCCTGCAAAAGAGTGCATTTTTCTTTTGTTAGTTTTCTGTGTATGCTAGTTATTTCTAGATGCCTCACAAATCACTTGTAATATGACTTTGTAGCATTTTTCAGTTTCTGAAAGTATTTCAATTTAGTGCATAATTAATCTAATTAGGGCTTGGTTTGGATGTTATTAAATTTAGATATATGGGGTAGGGATCTTTCTTTTCTCAGTTCTTGTTTTCGGGTAAAGAAAAAATTATATAGCTATTTTGTATTTTGTGATGTGGGGGGGGGGGGGGGAGGGGGGCAAAGTATAACAAAATTTTTATTAGTATTAGAATTATATCTCTGTTTTTCTGTTAACATTTCAAATGATGTCTATTTAGTTTTGATTTGGTGGTGTTAATTTACTTTTTCCTATCATTTTATGAATAAATGATAATTTAACAAATAAAATTATTGTTACCTCATTTATCAAACTTTACAGGTTAAACAGAGCAAAAGGGGTGGGGGGCTGCATGGGAAAGATTGCTAAATTGAGGGAAAATAAAACACAAGTTTTTGTTGGTGGTTATACACAAGTTTTTATGAAACCACACAAGTTTCAGAAATTTCAACACAAGTTTCAGAAATTTCAACACAAGTTTCAGAAATTTCAACACAAGTTTCGACACAAGTATTGTGTAGATTTTCACACAAGTTTCAACACAAGTTTGTGTTGTTTGGTAAATTTTAACACAAGTCTTGTGTTGTTTCAACATTTAACACAAGTTTGTGTTGTTTCAACACAAGTTTGTGTTGTTAAATAGAGACACCTAACTTGTGTTGAAAACAACACAAGTTTGTGTTGTTTCAACACAAGTTTTTTTTCAGTGTGTAAATACACCATACGTACACCATACGTACACGGACTTTAATTTCTGAGACTTTTAAAATCGGGATGGTCCCTTTAAAGGTCAATACTGATGTCAGCCATTATCTCATGTGAAAGAACTGGTTAAAACACGTTCCAAATATAATTTTAACACATAGATCATTGCTAATATAGATGCGTAACGAATATTTCAAGAAAAGGAGGTGAGAAAACAAAGGAAAACACGTGTTATCGATCTATATAACTGACTTAAAGTAGCTAAGTCTCTAACTCAATATCATCCAAAATCTTCAACATTGAAAACACGATTTATTTGTCAAATTAAATCAACATTCATGTTGTGATCTTACCGGGAAAAGATGGACTTTTGATATCCAATATTTAAGACAAAATAAACATTTTACCATTGGTACACGAATCGTGTACCATAATGCGCTTCAGCCCCAGTTGTATCAAGAGACTCGAGGAACGAGGCTAGACACATTGCACCTAATCAAACGGCGTATGTAGACTGGAATAACCAGACGCTAGAAATTTGCACTCGCTTGAGACTGCTGGCTTATTTCGCCGAACATAACTGATTTGAAATTGGAGTAAAAACGGAAACCATTGAATGTAAATCAGTTTATATACATTCATATTACAGTATTATATGCGTTGCGACCCACTTTTGTCAATTTCTAGGTCCCAAATGTTAGCGATTTAGCTCCTTTAAGTAACGAGAGATAACAGATACACAGGCAAATTTCCACTCACTGATAATTCCGTTGTGGGATAAAGTTGTTATATGAGGTGTTTCGATAGAAATAGAAGATGTTATTACAACCGTTTTAATGATAGGTCCCACTATCACGATTCGCACTAGGAAAACGTCTTTTCGGTTACTACCCCCACCTATGTACCAAATTCGGTCTAAATCTAATGATGAATCCTTAGTAACTTTTACCTTGTGCTCTCGCGAACGAATCCATTAAGCGGTCAATAGAAAAATTATGTTCCAACGGAACAAAACTGTTGATGCAATTGAAGTGTTTGTCTCATCGGAATAATATATATTTTTTTAGGAAATATATATAGCAAAACAGAATAAATTCATTCGGCGACCGGGTTAAATCTTGAAATTAAAAGTGTAATCCGTTTTGTGAACTTGTGCATCAGATTCTGATACTGTCATTTATTAATCCTGCCTTTGTTTTTATTTCAAACAGATGGCGAAACTAAAGAAGCTTTTGTGTTATATTGAAGTAATAACTCTCGTCCTAATAGTGGCTATGTTAATACATATGCAAATAGTTGGGAAAGTGGTCTGGATTCAAATCCATAACAATGGACATGACACAGCCGAACACGACTACCTGGTATCCTCACAATCGGACACTGACATCTGGCTCGCAAATCTGCAAAACAGGCCCGAGACTGAAACTAAAGCAAGGGGGGCAGTACCAAAGGATAAGAAGATACCTGTACGGTTAGAAACACAGACTCGGAATGACTGGTTACGAAAATTCCGCCTAGATACCCCATCTTTACCAATAACCAACAAAGTAGGCCCAAGTAACGACCAAGGTGATAATATCAGCGATTTGTCACAAAATAGGTTCCCTTTCGAATGACATTAAGGAGCATAAAGGTAGTATTTCAAAGAAACCATTGTCTAACACGAAAGTAATCAAACACAAATACAAGACAATAGTTGTGTTAAATAGGCATATGTGGTTTCTCCGCGGTGCCAATCCGGGACACGGTTACTTTAGTCGTTGTGAATATAAAATGTGCGAATTGTCTTTTGATGAAAAAGAGATCAAATCCAGCGCCGCTATAATGTTTTACGGAGTAAGTTATCCGTCGAAACCGCCGCCAGCACGGAATAATCCAGACCAAGTGTGGATTCTTGCTGCATGGGAATCGCCAATTTACATGTATGGTGCTTCCTGGGAAAACGAAGTTTGGACAAATAAAATAAATTGGACTATGACGTATCGGATAGACTCTGACATACCTACACCTGGTGGAGAAGTGGTGGAGGATAAACGTAAAATACGGAATTATGATGTCATAATGAAGAAGAAAACTAAATTAATTGCATGGGTAGTTAGTCATTGCAGAACCCAAAGTAAAAGGGAAGCTTATGTCAAACACCTGGAAAAAGTTGTGCCTGTTGATATTTTTGGTAGATGTGGAACGTCTAAACCTACTGATGTATTTGAACTTTTAAACACAACGTACAAATTCTATTTGTCATTCGAAAATTCCCTTTGTAAGGATTATATTACCGAGAAACTATTCGATCGTCAAAATCTAGATATCGTGCCCATAGTGCGTGGAATTGGGAATTACACTCAGTTTTATCCAAAAGCATCTTACATAGATACGAGAGATTTTAAATCAGTTGAAGAGCTCGGTAAATATTTGCAGTATTTAGACAGAAACAATACTGCTTATGTACAATACTTGAAAGCGAAGGAACATCTTTACACACGCAGTATGTATTCGGTAAGACAGAAGGGTTATTGCACTATGTGTAAAAAGCTTCACAATTTAGATCAAAATAGACACAGTTATCCAGACATAAATCAGTGGCTACTCAAAGATAAATGTGTGAAGCCTACAGATATTTAAGCACTTTTCTAACATTCCAGGGGACTAACCGTAACTTGTTTGCATAATTTGAGACCAACATTGATGAAACCAATAGACAAAACTAATTTCACTGTGTATATAATGTTTAATTATATGTGGCTGTTCCCCCTACATTCCATGACTCTAAATCAATCTGGTTTTCATAATTTCAGATCAGTATTGATGAAGCAGTTTTATGAAAAATGAAAACATGATTACCGTGTTTATAGTGGGCAATAAGGTGGGAATTTCCCTCATCATGTATATAATAATAA